AGAAGGAATAATGTCTGGGATTCTTCTCAGTGGCAACTTCTCCCGCAGCACCCGAGTAGAGATAAATTATTTTGGCTCAGTGGTTTAAAGTCAAACCTAGCCCAGGCAGCTTTGGAAATGCTCACGTGTCATTCAGTTTATTACAGTCATGGAACAGGGACCAGAGCAAATAAATGCCACACACAAAAAGTGAATATCCAATTAAAAGTTCTAGAATAAAATAACACGATAGGCAGATTTGGGGGCTAATCGGAAAGTCTTGTCCAGAATAAAACATGGTATTAGCATGATTAAAGCATCAGAAAGAAGAGATTCGAACCCTCACCACCCTCCAGGCCTTCCGCAAAGCCCTCAAAACCTGGTTGTTCCGACAGGCCTGGGGCTAAAGAGCTGTTGCCCCCGTCTCGAATGGTATGACTGTAGTGAGTTTTAAATTATATATTGTTATGTTGTTGTTTTTTAAATCTTTTGTCTGTATCCCCCTCTCCGGTTCGAGTTGTGAGCCGCCCTGAGTCCCCTTCGGGGGGAAAAGGGCGGCATAGAAATTTAATAAACTGAAACTGAAACTGAAACTGAACTGATTTCAGGCCTCCCCCCATCCACACGTTCCCCACGTGGGACCTTCCCCTGGTGCTCAGGGCTTTGACAGGGACCCCATTCGAACCTCTCTGGTCTGTTCATCTATGGTTCTTGTCTCTGAAAGTGGCTTTCCTGGTGGCGGTTATCTCTGCCTGATGTATTTCAAAACTGGGCGCCCTGTCTTCCAGGGACGACCTTTGCCATTTTCACCAGGACGGGGTGGTGTTTCGCCTTGATCCTACCTTCATCCCAAAGGTGAATACTCCCTTTCATAGGGCTCAGGAGATCGTCCTGCCCGACTTTTGCCCGGGCCCGTGCAATGATAGGGAGAGGCTCTGGCATCGGTTGGACGTCCGCTGCGCTCTGTGGATCTACCTCCGGTGGACTGAGGGGGTCTGTAGGTTGGAGGCCTTGTTTGTTTCGTTCCAGCCAGGAAAGTTGGGTTCTAGGGTGTCCTCGGCCACCATCGGCCGTTGGTTGCATCAGGCTATTGTGGAGGCTTACGGAGCTTCTGGTCAGTCGGCCCCGTCAGGCATCACGGCCCATTCTACTAGAAGTGCCGCGACCACGGCGGTGTGGGCCACGAGGGCCCCATTTGAAGACATTTGTCGCGCGGCCACTTGGGCTTCTCTGACACCTTTCATCCCTCATTATCATTTGGGTGCCTTCGCTTTGGCAGACGTGTCCTTTGGTCGGAGGGTCTTGCAGAGGATGGTGGCTGATGCTCCCCTTGGGCCTTAATGGTTTCTTGTTCTCCCTCCCTGGGACTGCAGCTTGGGTATGTCCCACATGTGACCACTTCCTCCCTTCCTCTGGAAAAAGAACGTTGGTCTTACCTGAACGTGTCTTTTAAGAGGAAGGGAGGGAGTGGTGATGACCCGCCCTGGGGTTTTTCCTTCGGGGCCAAGGAGAGGGCCCGGGTGGTTCCCTTGTTGTTGTTTTTTGTTGTTTCAGTGCGCCTTCAAGGAAACTGGGCCAGGATTGGAAGGCACCAGTATTTAACAGTTTGCTCTCAGTCTTTGGACCAATCAGGCTTTGAGAATACCCACATGTGACCACTCCCTCCCTTCCTCTTAAAAGACATGTTCAGGTAAGACCAACGTTCTTTCTATAATTTGTAATGGAAGATTCTTTTATGCTTTTTGCTTTTTGTTCTGTCCGTTTGTGTTTGTTTAAAAATAAAAAAATGCTTTTTAAAAAAAGTGACAGGAAACATGAAGCTAAAAATTGTTCATTAGCACCCATTGATTGAAGAAACACTATTTTATGTGTTTGTAAAAGATGCCATTAGTGAAGATTTTTAGAGCATAAATTGTGTTCATAGGAATTGGATGTATGAGTATGTATACACACAGACTACACTATTCATACTCTTTTAGAAAATTATTTAGGAACCTGGTATCATATGTGTAATAATATGTAGGAAGGACCTTGGGAGACAGGAGGAAGTGCTGCAGACTAGACAAACATCATATAAAAGATATCTTGGTCCACAGGAAGATTGTGTACAGGAAGCCTTTCAGAAAGGACCCTCTCTAGTTTTCTGGAAAGTAAAAGCAGATGAGAGAAATATTTTCAGACTTTCAAAATTCTGATAATATAACGCTGTACCTAATAAAGGTGATGTTAGTACTCATAGTTATGTGTTTTGTCCGGGCTATCTCAAGGGAGTAATATATGTGAAGTTGGTTAGGAGGTTGCCTTCATGTGTGTAAAACTTTAATCTTTATACTATAGACTCTAGATCCCATATTCTAAAATATTTCTGATGATTAGGTGGGGTCTAACCATTTCTTGATTAGTATCTCATTGTCCTTAGTTGCCAACAAGATGCCTCTTCCATCAACAAATTATCAACTGCAGATTCGCTTTATTGCTTTTTTACAAATTGATATTTGGTGGCTCAC